TTATTATTTTTTTGTATATTACAAATTAAATTCAGAATGTATAGAGTTAACAAGAATATTAACCGAGATGTCTTTTTCCAGCACAATGTAATGTTATGTTCAGTTGGTTTTGTGGGTGACCTCACGGTGTAAAATAATGTTTGATGTTATGCCAAATGTTTTCTCCTGGCAGAGGTTTGTGGCTTGCAAAATCCAACAAGATGGCACCTGGGGGTCAGGACTTGGTCCGCAGCTGGATGACCAGTCAAGGGAGAGGTTGTCGCACCTGCTGGAGGTGCAGCCACATGATTGGCTGGTCTTTGTAGCAGGAGTGAAATATCAACCTGTAAGTAAAAAATACTTCATATATATATATATAAATTTNTTTTGTTTTTCAAGAAAAATTTAAAAATTATTGCAAAACATTAAGCATCTTTAAAAGTTCCTGAAGAAAGTTTAAGAAATCACAAAGTCAATTAAATTATCCATTCGGATAAACAGGGCCGTCGCGTGACTTTCGGGGGACACTTGCCCCTTGTCGGCTTTGTGCTCCCCCCGCATTCAAAGCTGATAGTAAACTTGTTTGACACATTTCAACTTTGGGCCCATTAAATATCCGAATACTCTGCAGTTGCAAAGGTTTCAGGCCCCATACCACAGCTCTGCGGCTAACTACTATGTAAATTTAAAAAGAAAAAAAAAAAAAATTCAAAATGAAAAATAAAAAAAGTTAATGTTCTTTTTTAATTACGGTTGTAAGAGTAAATTTCCTTGTGTATTCATACGCCAGTGACGTAACATATTGTTTGTTTCTTGGTATGGTGACTTAAGATAGTCCTTGAACCTTCTGTCAATACCCTGGGAATTTCTTTAAATCCGGCTTCTGACAATCCCAACAATGTGTGTGCGTGTTAATTTGCCACCCCCCCCCGCCACTTTTGGGTTGTTTACAATCTTATATTTACTTGAGTATAAACAGAAATGTAATCTCTATGTACAGTACTCACTTTGTTCTGTTCCCATAGTGTTTTAAACTGATTGGTGATCATATTCCTCAGCACACCGTCCTTGGACAAGTCAGGATAAATGCTGCTAATTTGTTAGAGACCAAAGGTCAGTCGTAGAGTAGAATGTAATTTCAGGATAGAATTTAATCTTTTAATTTTTGTAAATGGCATTTTAAAAATATTTATTTGACCTTGTCAGCCATGTTTAAACTTAACTTTTAAATAAATGAATGACTTCTGGACTGCATTTTATTTGTTCTTGGTTCAATTTCAAAATAGCAATTTTACTAAAAGTTTAACTAGTGGAAATTAGATTTACTATTTCATGTTGAATTTCAGATATCAAAGTTCGGCAAGACGGATACAAGTTTCTTTGGGTGGACAACTTTCCTTTATTTCTACCTAAGGAAGATGGAGGTATGTTATCAAAATTAAATGAAGCTCAACCACAAAAGTGACATTCAAAAAAAATGTAAATGTCTTCAAAGAAGACATTATCAATTATCAGAAAAATTTAATTTTAGTTAGTATTCATAAAATATCATATGAGTTTGTGTCACATGTCACCCGTGTTATCATATTGCTTTTTTCTTTCTTTTTTTTTCCAAATAGTTTCTAAATTTAAGAATTTAAGGTATAGAAATATTGTTCCCCTACCTGCAGCTCCCTACATATTTTTAAGCAGATATAATTTTTAAAAACATTGTGCTGAGGTGGCTGATTAGTCAAGGTATGTCTTCATCATGAGATGACATACAGCGCTGGAGTTACCAGACGAAAAAAGCAACACCAGCTCTATGGGTAGAATGGGACTCATTAACCTTGGATGGTGGCTCATCTTAAAGAAAGTAAAAATCTGATTGCAAACCTACGTTGTGAAAATCCCAGCAGTATTTAAAATGGCTATTCGCAAATAAGGAGATCTAAAAAAGGCTCTTAACTCTTAAAAGGTTGCGCTTACTCTATGAATGTCTGGTATTGTCTGCTTACAAAATATGGAACTCAATTTCTGGTACAGTCAGGTTACAAAACACATAATTCTATCAATGTCTGTTATTATTCAGGTGAAGGACTTGAGTCGGCCCATCATCCTTTCACAGCTCCCCATCCTGAGGACTTGGACTTGATATATTCCAATCCTGAACTGGTTAGTTCTTGTCACACTGATGGTCACCATTGGGGACTTTGTTTTTGCCAAGTGTCCAAGATTATTTAGGGGGCTCAGAATATAAAAGTGATTTATAGTGGATTTCAGAAACAAATTTTTGGTAGGAGATGTTGTTGCTGGGCCAATGTGCATGGGTGACTGTTCTCATACCTGATCTGTTGCTACCTATGAATGATTTAATAGCTTAAGACAGTGGTCAGCAAACTCATTAGTCAAAAGAGCCAAAAATCAGCAGCAGGACGATGTAAAAAAATTTGAGAGCTAAATTACTTTTCAAGAACCTGTCAAAAAACATATTTTTTGGAGTAATAAACCGATTTTTGGCCAACTGGCAATTGTCCAACCACTGACTAAGATATTGTATGAAGTACTGATAGTATTAATAGTAATGAATGTTGTGTAATGTATTACACTAGTTCTAGTAATGAATTAAGTTGTGTAATGTAACAATAACAATGAGGAGTGTGCGACTTGTGCTGACCAATGTCTTGTGAGCATGCCACCAGACACAGGTAAAACTTGAGGATGTGTCTACCTCACACGTGAAGACTGGACCTGGTGGACCACGCAAAAGAGATCCTTACATGATGATCCAATGGGTGGAAAAGCAACGTGGCGCGTGTCCAGAGCACAGTGTGACACAAAGAACACTGCCGGTCATCCACTGTCGGTCATCCACTGCATCCTTGTCTTTGTCCAGTCGTCTTGACTATGTAAAGTCTCGCCACTGGATCAAGGGCGAGAAAGTGAGACTGAATTGCGCAACTCTCCCTCGCCTTAATCAAACTAAAGCGCATGTCAGGGCTATTACCTCTAGGTATGTACTATTGTCTAGGGTACCCTATGTGCGACCACCTTTGCTCCCCTAAATGGAGGAGGAAGATAGAAGTATTTGACTCAAATCCTACTAAGACTCAAAACAACGTGTTTTCCATGTGCGGGAAAGCTTTTCAGGCACAAATAGGACTGGCAGGCTACCTGCATACTCACCATATAATATAAAATAGCCATGGTCATCTTTGTATGCGAATTATACAAGGGTTTAGCTCATTTGATGCTAAATTCATTGCTACAATTAAAAATATAAAACATTTTTATATCTAAAAGAGTAGCAAGGCTAATGTATATTTCTGTAAAGTCTGCTTGAAAAAATGTCAATTTTTTTGTTTAGGTTCGTGGTCAACATTACGACCTGGTCCTAAATGGGAGTGAGATAGGTGGAGGATCCATACGTATACACAACTCCAAGCTGCAAAGATACATCCTCAATGACATTTTGAAGGTGGGACCTTGACATCACTGAGTTTCAGTTACAATGGGTTTGGTGATAGAGACCTACAGTATAACAAATATTATACGAGAAGTTCTTTATAATCAATCAATATAATTCTCTATGTGTGAAAGAAAGTATGGCGTAATGGTGAGTTCAACAGCCTGCAAAATAAAATTCAAGATATTGCGCAAAGAGAGATTCTAAAAAATACAGCAACTGCCTTTGTGGCGTAATATTTTATTTTGGTTTACAGAAATAGTCTCAATTTAAATATGATGTAATAAATCTGTGGGGTAAAAGTAAAAGGGGGTTGGACATTAGAATATTAATATAGTCTAGGGGTGTGAAAAAAAGTGTTCATTGGCATACGGGGGAAGCACTAACTGGGATTGTTATAAAGTCCATTACTAGAATGCATGTTTTGTCAAGCATTTTGGGAAGTTCATGCATTGCTTGCGCCATTGTAAGACAGGCTATAAGAAGTGAAAAAAATATTTTTTCCTTTTAAGAAGATGTAATTGTCTAAAGTTTTATCTTTGTAAGGTTCAACGTTCCATAAATGAAGAGATTAAACCAAAAGATAAGCCCAATTATATTTTTTTATATTTGTTTCAGGAGGATTGTTCTGGGTTAGAACATTTACTGCATGCCTTGGACTCGGGTTGCCCCCCACATGGTGGCATAGCATTAGGTAGTAAGACTGAAACATTTCTAAGTTTATAGTTGTTGGTGGCTGTTGTGTTTTTATTTTAATCAAAGGGATACAACTATTATAAGTAATCATAAGACAATGTATTAAAATTAAATGCCAAATACTTAATTTTCTCTATAAGTTGCGATAGCAAAACTGACCCTATGACTATAATACCTTACAGGCCTTGACCGCCTCATGGCCATCATGTGTGGTACAGATTCAATTCGAGATGTCATTGCATTCCCCAAGATTTCGGGCGGGAAAGATCCACTCAGCAATGCACCAGCCCCTGTAGCAAGCTCTGACCTAGATTATTATCACTTAAAGCTCACCTCTAATGTATCAGCTGTTGATGAGTCTTAACACTAACTTTATTGACTTGGTAATTTATGCTGAAGTAAACATATATTTGTAATTTATAGTTTTTGAGATTGTTCAATTATTTATCAAAACCATTAGCTTATTTTGATTGGTTTAACCAATTTGAATTACAAGATTATTTAAGGTTTGAGATGTATATTTAATTTTTTTTGCTATTACAGCTGATGAAATGATAATTTAATATTAGTATGTCTTATAACCTAACCCAACATTATTAATGAATTTATTTATGGTTCCCTATTGTATTTGAGTTTTCTACCAACAAAAAAAATTTATAGGGAGGGAAATAAAATGTCCACATTAATTAATTCTTTATTGTCTTACAATGCATTTCAAGTTATTTTGTATAAAAAAATATCAGGAGAACAACTTACACGTTGCTAATTACATTTTCAGCAATTGGTGATAAAAGAAGTTCTTACAGTAACTGAAGTGATTTAAAAAGAACTCATTACTCAAACAAAAACATATTTTATTCTGTATAATTGATATTTTGTACTGGTATACAATTATCTGTAAATCAAAAACAAGAATCTTACTGGAGAAGGGTAACAATCTGAACAAAAGCAGAGACCAATCCTCTTCATTATCACAGCAAAGTTTCTCAAATGTGAGATGAGCTTATGTGATAAGCCTGCAAGAAGCTTGGTTAGCCAATGGGAAATAAAAGATTGAATCCCTGGATCATTACAAATCTTATGGTAAGAATACCTAAAAGCTGGAATATTCAAGGCAAACAAAAAGTAATTTTAATTCCTTGGGTTAGAGAACTCTACTTAGGATTTGACGAGTATGAAATAAACTATGCAGGCTTATTGTGATTTGCAATTCTGAATGTTGGAAGTTTTAGAATAAACTTGGATTTGTAAATAAGATAAATATGAAATAAATGCAGTCCAACAACAGTGAAAATTCAGGGTAAATTCACAACTTGAAAGACTTTTCTATAACAAAAAAAAGATTAGATCCAAATGACACCAATATGATCTATCTCTGATTAAGTCTGATTATAAATTATACATTTTAGTACATCATTGATACACGTAAACTCAACAAACCACCTTTTCTCAATGTGTTCTTCACACGTTATAATACTAGTGAAGTAAATCATTGACTAGTGTAAACAAATAACACCATCTATCACTAGTGTGTGTAAAAAATGATATATCAAAACCCAAAATATTGCATCTATCTTGAATTGCAGCCACAATGGGAAAGGAAATTGGTAAAAAAATACCTAATATGACAAGATTATTGCAGACCTCTGATGTCGTCTTAACAAAGCAGATGAAACAATATGATGGTTGCCCCTTTACCCCCACACACCCTAACTCAACACCTCACACTATCACCCACTTCCTTCCATTGAACTAATTTAAGCTCAGCAACTTGTTAAAAAAATAACCTCTCTATCAGCACTTCCTACCTTTCTTCACCCTCACCCAATGTTCCATCTGCCCTCCTTCAGACCAATGTCATCTAGCACCTGACCTCCAGGTGTCAACCTTCCCCTTCTCAAACCCACACACCCTCTCCCACTGCCCGCTCTTTCTGCCAACAGACTCACTCGTTCCACACTGCCTCCTTTGTCTCTCCACCGCCTCATCCTGCACTGGCGGCCTCAAAGCTATTTACCAAATAATGGTTATACGTTCATTTAGTCAGTTCAATGTTGGCACAAGAACAATATAGAAATATATTTACAAATAAACTTTATTTTATAGTAACGGCACTTTTAAAATAAGTTGGAATGTGGAAAAAAATAACCAAAAAGTTAAACAATGATTATCACACTTAATTCACTTATAGGATTAAATTTCAAGACCATATTGAACAGTCGCAAAACAATGGTTCATATTTTTGCCCATGATCTTTAGGAAATAATATTTTTCCAGAAATATTTTTGTTGCAGATATCCTACTCTTTTTTAATGGGAATATGAGTCTTCTTCTGTGGCCCATTGAATGATTTAACACAATAATGTCAATAATAATATTTTTTTTTTGATTACTTAGAAAAAAAATAAACTATAACCATTAACAATAGTTAGCTAAAATGATTTTAACATCAATAATCTTAGGACATTTAGAAATATCTATTCTCATTAACAGCTAAAATTAAATTGTGATAAAAATAGATCAAATCAGTAGGAAACAACTTGGACAATACATGCTGAGAAGAATAGTTGGTGAACAAAGCACCTAATGTTTTGTTGCTGACCATCAGTCAGTGATTGGTTTTATATGAATGACATACCCTTGATAAGCTGAGAAAAGTTTTTTGGCACCTTCAATGATGGTGTCAACTTGTAAACTGCTTATTGAGAGCCGTGCACAGTTGATGAATGAGTTGGTTGGTGAGCAGCTAGGGGAAACATTGACAACATCATAATATGACTAAAATATCAGTTTTATATCATCGGCTATCAAACATTCTTACAGTGTGCCTATATATTACAATACTTAAATTACAAAATAATTTGTATTTAAAAGTCTTATTTATTTTTTTTAAACCGACAAGCAAAACTTACTAAACACCTGGAAGAAAACCAACACCATAGTTGTCTCTAGCGAACAGCTCAAATTTTCTAGCATCTATGTTCTGTGGGAAAGTTATCCACAAAAAGTAGCCTCCCTGAAATAAACAAGGCGGACAACACCCCGACTAGTTAATCGCAAGGCTATTTCTCATTTACTGACATGGATATTTTAAAAATAATAGTCTTCTTAAGTAAACATGTTTACACTTAGTAAAATTATTGGTCACCTGGGGCCTTGGGTAGGACCATCCATCTGGACAAAGTTCATCTAGAGCGGCACACAGTGCAAACATTCTTTCCTGAAGCATTGGGAAAACGATGTAAATAATCTAACTAAAGTCATTGTTAAAGATATCATATTGCCTGTTCATTGTTCAACTTCTGGGAAACACTGAAGATTAAGATCATGAGTTACAAGATTAAATCTGTTAAAAAAATTTAGATGTAAAAGTAAAAGAAAAATGTCATTGTCCTTTGATAATTCCCATCTAATTTTTATCAACACAGTAATTCTTATAAACTAGGAAAAACACTGGCTCAATCAAGTAAAACTTGATGGTTGTGTAAATTAATCAAATGAATTGGATTATGATTCCACGAGTGTCATGATTTCAAAGTCTAAAAGTTAGAAAAATTGTTAGCAGAAATGAGCTCACACCAAAGCAACACTATCAAGAGGTCATTCTCTATATGTAATTGAACATATTGTAGTTGTGGATATTGAATCAATACATAAAGCAAACAGTAGGGAGAGGCACAGGCCACTCTATAGACCTTGCTGTTTCTCAGCACAAAGTTCACAATGCCAGCTGAGCCACGAAAAGACACACCTTGTCTTTTCCAACCCAGGCACCTGCCCTCTTGTTTCTTGGGCTTCCTCCTGACCAGAGGTATATAAATAGGTTGTCTACCATGACCACCTTAATCACTGTATATGCTAATAGTGAACTTGTCTGAGAGTGCACAGATGGCTGATGAGACCGATTCTGGCACGATATGTTCTTGTGCAGTAAGTGCAGGAGATCGATGAGACTTTTCCAGGTGCAGAGTTAGCCTGGGCTTCTCTGGCATGTCTGTTTTGCTCTGCAGCTGCTGTTCTGTTGACTTCATGCTGTATGGAGCCTTTGTTTACTGAGGAACTCCACAATGCTTGATCCCTTGCAGATTCTTCCCATGTGTCCGTGTCTACATCAAATGATTTAAGTGAGGCCTTCAGGTTATCTTTAATTTAAAGTAGAATAATAAGACACAAACAATTTGTGTCAATATAACAATATAAGGCTCCATACAGCATGCAGTCCAACACTTTTTTAATTTAAAGTGTTTCTTTTGTCCACCAGCAAACTGCCTTCAGTGCTTGAGCACCAGAATACTCTTTTGGGAAAAGGGTCATCTGACATGGGCACAACATGTCCCGCCAAAAGAAGCTGGGACTGCATTAAATGGCAAAGATGATGGGGAGACCTGCCTGTGCAGAGAGATAGTGGAAAGAAGAAGGCATGCTGAAAACTTGTTGAATAAAGAACCATATGAAATATCGATCTTGGTTTTGATACTAATGACCCCTAGACTAAACAAAGCTAGTGAACTGCCTAATGGCTTATTTCATTAGGAGTTCATAACGTGGCTAAGCTCCGGCTGAAATAGACAAAGATAGAGGGCACAGCTCTGACTGAAAGCTTCACCCGCTGTTCCTGACCAGACAGATGCCTGAAGATGAATGAACATCTCATACGGTTGTAGCGGACAATTTTAATGACCTCAGTTGGACTTTTTATGAATGCTTGCCTTTGATTTTTTATTAGGACGCGTGAGTCACCTTTATAGTGAACCCCTTCAATAAGCCCTATTGTTTTTAATCATATGTCGGATGCACCCAGTCCCCAACTCATTATTATTTACAGAAGCTGTTACACTTAAAATTAAACACCGCCCCTTGTTTTAGATTCAAAACAAATCCATACATTATATGGAAAGCAACAAATTTCTAATTAAAACTTCAGCTAGCCGTAAAGGTCTTCACATTTGAGAGTGTGCGTTTAAGACTTGGGACGCTGGGTTAAATCCACATAAATGTAATAAAAAAATAGTTAATTAAATACAGGAAAAATGTATTGCCATCTGGGGATTAAAAATATTTGTAAAATAGTGCTGATGAAACACTTTTACTTGACTCAGGTCTTGAGAAATGTCTGGCACTATCTGTATAAACCAAGTACAACATACAATGTACCTGATAGGCTGACCTTGTGAACTTCAAATGATCATACAAGATGCCTGAAGCTAAGATGTTTGCCATAAGCTTAGCCATGTAGTGGTTAAAACTGCCACCGCTCCATGTCAGATTACTAAATGGAAAAAGTAGACAATTAATGCAAACTTTAAATATGTATGCAAAATATGAAATTAATTTTTTAAAATCTTTTTGATTATGGTATGTACACTAAATTTGGGGGGGGGGGGGGGGGGAAGTTTATTAAGATAACTAAATATAATAACAGTACACTTAGTTCATCTTTGTTGAACTTCAAGCTAATCACAATACACATTTAATAAGTCTAAGGGACTTAACTTAAAATATTACTACACAAAATATTATTACTTATTTTTTAAAATTTTAATCCAGTATATTTTAAGCATTCTCCTTAACAGAATTAAAGAAGCGTGCGTTGACCACCTAAGGGAAGAATATTGAGAATCATCATAGAGCAATGTGTCGAATGGCAATCTCCTCTAAGCGCAACATTTGTAATTTGTAGACTTTGAAAAGGCCTTTGACAGAGAAACATTCTGGTCAGTCTTGAGGCATTATGGAATTCTAACGCAAGTATTAACCATCATCAAAAATCTGTATGATGACTTTACATGCCAAATGGCACACAGCGGCAGACTGTCCATGGAATTCCCTATTACAACTGGAGTAAAGCATTCTTTCGCCACTCCTTTTCCTCTTAATGCTAGACTGGGTGGCAAAAGAAGCCTAGACGAATTCAGGAAGAGAGATCCGGTGGACTCAAGCACAAAAATGAGAAGACTTGGAATCTGCAGATGATATAGCCATCCACAGACTAAAAAAAAAAACATGCAAGAGAAGATCACGGCTTTCGACAAGCCTGGGAAAAGAGTGGGGATTAAATGGAAACCATCACAAAACAAACAATGCTAAAAATAAACTACTAACAAGATGATGACATAAAACTAGAGAAATAAAACACAGATCACGTCGATAGCTTCTTGTGGTCAATGTGCCTGGAGGAACAGAGGAAGACATCAAACGCTGGATACATTTAGCACAGCGGGCTTTAGCCCACCTAATAACAGTCAGGAAATCATCCTACATCTCTACCAAAATTACAGTAAGAATTTTTAACTCCAATGTGAAAGTAGTCCTATTGAACAGGTCTGAAATAGGGAGAACAACAGAAACTACAACAAACAGAATCAAAAACATCAAGGTGTGGAAGATGAGTGGACAGAAAACAATAGAGAAACAAATCATGGATAGAAAATGAAGATGGATAAGACACATCCCCAGGAAATACACCAACAAAAGAGCTGCTGAGACAGTCCCTAGAGTGGAATCCCCAGGGTAAATGTCACAGAGTAAGACCCAAGAGAACATGGTGGCACAGCGTGCTGGATGAGGCTGAGAGAGCATGGTGGCAGAGTGTGCTGGATGACGCTGAGAGAACAGGAAAGAGCTGGGAAGTACAAAAATATTGGCAAGAGACAGTGCAAAGTGGTGCTACTTTGACAGAGGCCTTATGCTCCACAAGGAACTCAAAGGACAAATGATGATGATATTTTAAGTATCATCAACATCAAATGATAATACTTACTGTACAAGATATTCTATTTATTTACTAAAATAAAAAGCAAATGTTAAGAGAACCACATAAAAAATGCAATGATTTACAGTTTGACAGGTAAATTTTTTTTTAAATTTCTTGAGCTCCATTGCAGTAAAACTTACTTCTGAATAATTTGTTAGAATTCAATTTATCCTAAGGAGAGCATTTAATTTTAAAACTAGTTTCGAGAACAAAAGGCCTGACCTGTTGTACATCTTGAACAGCAGCTGCTCTGGTCCTTCAATCCAACCCAGTCGGATACTGGGAGCAAATATTTTAGAGAACGTACCGTTGGATAAGACATGCCCCCCACCATAGTCTGGATCAGATGTGTTGTCATAATGCAGTAATCGCTGGGGTGCGAGTCCACTTTCATCAAAGTGGATCAGATTGTAAATATCTTCAGCTATTAGAAGAATGTTGTGCTTTCTGGCAAGTTGAATAAGCTCTTTACATCGGGCTTGAAAAAAACAGCAAATGACAATTATTGAAAACTCAACAGCTAAAATGTAAACATCTCTTCTAATTCAAAGTACTCATCAATTTTCAAAATACTAATAGTAATAACAGTATTTCAAGTTTAATTAAATTAATTTAATTGAGTTTCATTTCAAAACTGTCTTGCAAAGAATTAATACAACTGAATAATGAACAGTGGACTCCTTACATTCTAGTTTCACAACCCCTACAGACTATAAAGAAATAACTAAACTTTTAGTGTCGATGTCTATATCAACATTTGCTTGTGTATTACCTCTCAATGTGCCTCACGAGTTTATTAACACTACCATCTACTTTATTAACTACAGAATTTTTTTAATATGAAATCTCAGAGATGGAACAAAAAGAAATCTAAAGCTTACTTTCAGAATATGTCTGGCCGGTAGGATTGTTGAATACTGGAATCAGATAAGCGGCTGCCCAAAATCGTGTATAGCGTTTGTTGATGTTGCTGTTGTTCCCCTTATAAAATTCACGCTTATGTGCAATTAAAAACTGATCAAGAAGTTCTGGATTAATCCCACACTCATCACAAGGAACTGTTTGCGAAATAATCAGAGCAAAATTGGTTTAATATATACTGTACCAATTGAAATAAATGGATGATTTTTTTTTTTAAATGGCAACCAATAAACTTTTTTTTTTTAAATATTTAATTTCAAAATTATATGGAGTAGCTCACATTATGTAAATTATCAGTTTAAGTAATGATATTATTTTTTTTTAAAACAAGCGTTACCAGGAACAAGGTTCATTTGAAGATCATCTCTTATCATTCGAACAGCAAAGAAATAACTGGGATCTTCTACGAAGATAGGACTTGCCTTGTCACACAGTAAAGACAAGATGGCGTGGAGACCTTGTGTGGCCCCGGCTGTAACCATTAAATTAGCACTGGTAACAAAAACAAAGTGTTTTAGTAATAAGCAAAATTATAATATGAATCATCACTTTTAGGCTTGAAGAAGTTTCTTCTTTGTTCTTTATTCACATACAGATTATGACACTGTGAATATTAATTCAAAATTATGTGTTGTGGAGCTAAATGTACATTTTGCGGGATGGAAAAATATTTTCATTTCCTATTAATAAAGCTCAGAGCTATTTTCATCCAACCAGGATTAACAACTTTTCTTAGCCATTTGTACTAAAATGAAATATTAATAAAAGATAAGGTATTTTAATTCTTACCTTTTTACTTTATCTCGGTATTCATGACTTAAAAAACATGAAAGCTGCTCTCTAAAATCTGCATCTCCTTGTTCAGCTCCATATCGAAATAAGTTTCCAATATCAATTGTTGAAGAACCCTGGTGGAAACAAAGAAAAATAAAATGAGTCCAGACAACTCATTTTCGTCATATTAAATTGCAAATGAAATTCATCAAAAGGATAAGAGATAACTTTTTACAAATACATATTACCAGCAGTTTTCAAAAGTATATTTAACCCGTCATGAAATGTCATGTTTGAACTAACTCATTTTCAACAGCTGGGGAAAAATAATAATTCATGATAATTCTCAGTCAATTTTCAAATTGTTCCTGACATTTTTTATAATTCTGGATATTTAATAATAAGTGAATGGCTACATTTTATTTTTCAATGCCAATGCCCCCCTTAAACATACATTCCAATACATTGCAATTATGAATTAATGACATCCACTAATTTTAATATCATAAAACTACATGTGACATACATAATCATTACTTTCAATTTTTTTTTTTAAATCGTTTTAAGTTCATTGCTGACAGTATTTAATGGAAAGTATTAAAACCTCAAAGTTTATAACAATGGAATAAAAACTAACTTTTTAAAATATCTTTTGGAAATCTTTGGGTCTTGTACACGCTGGCTAAGTTTTAGGTCATTGAGAGGTGAAGAAAAATTAGTGTTGTAATGATGCAGAAAAATTAGTGTTGTAATGATGCAGAAAAATGAGTGTTGTAATGATGCAGACAAAACATTTTACTTCTGGGTCTTTCTAGTAAATTATGTCAAATCTAAAAACAATGAACAAATAAATATACTACCCAAAAGACAACTTTCGTACTGAGCTGCAGCACACTGTTCCCTTAGATTTTTTTTTTTTTGTTTTTTTTTTAGATATATGCACTCTATGCCTTAAAGTTAATCAGAGAAAAGCTAGAAGTAAAAGTAAAATAAAAGTCTATAGGCCAAATCACAAGTTTCTAATGTAGTTATAATTATATTTTTAAATATACTACCCAAAAGACAACTTTCGTACTGAGCTGCAGCACACTGTTCCCTTAGATTTTTTTTTTTTTGTTTTTTTTTTTAGATATATGCACTCTATGCCTTAAAGTTAATAAGAGAAAAGCTAGAAGTAAAAGTAAAATAAAAGTCTATAGGCCAAATCACAAGTTTCTACTGTAGTTATAATTATATTTACCATAATTTTAAGGGTTGAAACTATGAGAAGTCATCAAAAAATCTAATCATACTGAGAAAAGTGAGATTGACAAATTTCTTCTTCTTCTTATATTTGAGGGGCCCACAATCAATTTGTTGATCATTCTGGCTCCTGGTTTAAATTCAGAGTTTGCCTTCTGTTAGATGGGTTGCCATCCAAGGCTTAGAGTCCCATCCACCCGGGGTGCTGCGATGTTGCCTTTGGTGGGGATTGAACTCCAGATCACCAACTATTTGGTTTGAGACAGTTTAGACCGCTCGGCCACCCAGCACCTCATAACATTTCGTAACATTAACATCATTGCTAAACCAAAAACAGCACTATGATTTAGCCTAACTATGCTCCAGTTATACTATTACTGGTAATACTGAGAGATAACATATGACGGACCGAGTTCAAGCCTAGTGAAGGAAATATTAGAACAAGATATGTTTAGACTTCAAATGAAAATCATTATAAATTAAAAGGACATTTGGGCTAGATGCCTTCTTCAGTAGGCAAAATAAGAAACAGTGAAGAATTAAAGATAAAAAACTTATGTGTTAGAAGCTCTCACTCTCAATGAACCTATATTATATATATACTGAAAAATTGCTATTTTTTAGACTATAGACTGTGTTGAGTATAGACCATAGATAGTGTTTTTAATTTTTTTGAGTTTAGGCCTAAGTTAAATTAGTTAAGTAGTTAAGCCTAAGCCTAGTTAAACTATTAGAATAATATAATAATACTAATACTAATATTATTATATTATGTCAATATTCAACCAATAGTTGGTAAATGAGTAAATTAAAATTAAATAGTATATATAAAATTTAATTAATATTATTTTATTTTCAATAATTGAAATCAATTTGTAGTACTAAGTACTAAGTCTAAGTCAGGGGTCTCAAACTCAAATCATACGGGGCCGCAGGAGGTGAGTCTGAGTTAGACTGGGCCGCAGGAGGCAGGGTCTGAGTGAGACTGAGCCGCAGGAGCCAGAGTCTGAGTGGGACTGGGCCGCAGGAGGCAGAGTCTGAGTGAGACTGGGTCGCAGGAGGTGGAGTCTGAGTGAGACTGGGCCGCAGGAGGCAGAGTCTTTGTGAGACTGGGCGGCATCAAGTGTTCCACAAAAAAGTGATTACAAATTCAATAAAGTACAACTGTTACAATCTGCTCAACCTTTAGTTATAACAAATAAAAACATTAAGGGTTCTCAAAAAATAGGCTTCACTTTCTTCATCCTACTGCTTGATGCCAGTGACCTGACAGCACAAGTGACCAAGCTGACAGGTTCGGAATTTCCCTCACTCGTAAACATTAGCGGTAATTGTAATAGTAATAGGGATTCTTTGATACTGTGTCGGATTACTACGATTTACACAATTATGGTTGTGCATTATCGGCATTATCCACTAACTGACTTTTAAAAATTTTGAAATATGTATATATAATATTCTAAGCGTGTTTTCTCAAAACTGCACTTTGGCCATGTTTGTCGCATAAAATTCTACAAATTCTGATTTTAAACGGTTTTTACTATTATAATCAAGTCCAATTCTATACAAAAATAAGAAAAATTAGAATTAGACTAGTTGGTGAGATTCGACTGAAACCATCGCGGAGGGTCACATTATAGGTATGAGAATGGGGAAAACACGCGGGACGCATTAACACTAAATTTGCTGTCTTGTCGCGGGCGGCAAAATATCGTCTTGCGGGCCGCAAATGACCCGCAGGCCGCGAGTTTGAGACCCCCGGTCTAAGTACTCTAAGTAGTGTAAGTTGTATTTACCAGCACAGATTTTGATGCAGTCAGCAACATCTCGCTGCATCTTTTCATTAATTCTACACCAGGTGATCCTGCAACAAAGGAAATCCCATTACTCCATTTCATAAGCAAGTTCATCTCTTTGTCACTGCTTTCGTCTTCCTCTGTCATGCTGTTATAATTTACAATGTTGTCTGCTGAGTTATAATATTTAAAACCTAAAATGCGAAATATCATTTACATATTTTATATGGTATCTTCTAAGTATTCCATGCATATCGATACTTCAGACAGTTCAAAGTTGATACTCATTTGTCGGGCCCCTTCACAAAACTTTCTTTTTTTTTTTCCTCTCCCTTTTTTTATTTATTATTTTTTTTTTTTATTTTTTTTTCCGTTGAATTACAGTGTGTTTTTTTTTAATTTGTTATTATTTTTTAAGTATTCCATGCATATCGATACTTCAGACAGTTCAAAGTTGATACTCATTTGTCGGGCCCCTTCACAAAACTTTCTTTTTTTTTCCTCTCCCTTTTTTTATTTATTATTTTTTTTTTTTAATTGTTTACACGGTGAAATACAGTGAGTTTTTTTTTAAATTGATAATATTTTTAACAGATTTTGATTGCTTTATGTTTTTAACCTCGTAATTTTAACCTGTGCATCTTCCAGTCTTTGTGTGTGGTGTTGCTCAGAATATTGCACATGCGGTCCATAATTGACCCCTTCGTGCATTTAAAATAAAACTTAAACTGAATCATTGAAAAGTCGTGACTCATGAGCTATTTAATCATCTTAAAGTATATAATTTGATGTAAATAACGAAAGGTCAAATCCAACAGATTATATGAGTAAATTGAATTAAATTGCCGGGTAAAAAATACTGGAAGAAAATTGTGGAAATTCACACAAGAACCCCCTTCCCGAAGTAAATATGTATTCATTTTTTAGTAAATAATAATAAAAAGTACAGGAACGCAATCGTCATGCTCATGGCTCTGAGAACTAATTCAGATTCTTGAAGACTCAGCGGCAGTGTATGCCCCTATTTCATTTTACCTCACATATCTTAAAATGAGAAAAGAACTAAATAATGTAAGCCTACTTAATTAAAGTGCCCATAGTGGACGGTAATATACTGAAAGGAAAAGTGTCTACGCGTGGAAGTTGAAAAGGGATTAAAAATGGGCACATTGAATAGTATAAACGTCATATCCTAAATCGTGACCTCTTCTAATACATCACCTGGAGCTATTTCATAAAAAGAAAATATAAAATAATAGCATAAGCAAAATATATTTTGAAAGATCTTGCCGGCTAGTTAATTTGTTATTTGTCACAAGTTGTATCGAAAGCATGAGAGCTTGATTTTGATTTTCTCTATAGGTCAATTTTGTTAAATAATTTAGTTTCGTTAGTTAATTACAAGAAAGAAAATAGTAGAAAAAATATTCTATTTTTTTTAAAAAAAGGATTTGTGAATGAACATAGATCTAATTTTTGCGTCTTTGCATTTTTATATTGTTACAGTTCGATTACGCCCGGAACCAAACGTTTTATCAAGTATGTGTAGGTGTAGGTTTCTTTTCGGGTTTTTACTCTGATATATTTTAAAATAAGTTCTTTGCTTTCTTTCGTTTACTTTTTCTACTATCCAGCATCTTTATATTAAAATTTTCTGTGAGGCAAATTAAAGAACAATTATTTATAATTATAATTATTTTTAGTTATACAAATGTAAATAAAAGAAAATACTCTAAGAAAGAGAAGTGACGTCATGTTCTCATTCTATGGGTCATAGGTTAAAGGTTATGATTGCTGCCTCATTTTCGATAGTATTTCTGATCAAATATGGCGGCGGCCGATTCGTGAAGGAAGTATACTGGTTTTGTGTGAAGATCGTGGAACAAAGGCGTGCCAACGCCTCCAATTTTTCTCCATGGAGTGTAAATAACATAATTTTTAGATTTATAGTCTTAATTCATGTTGGATATGTAGTTCACACTGGATTATAAGGTGTTTTAGGGCTCATTTTGCAGCTGAAACCGCTGCCAGAGCCAAATCCAGAAGAGGTGATAATGGGAGCACAAAATGCGAAGGAACCAAAGCCGAGTTCCGGAAAAAGTAAATCAAAGCCTGCAAAGGAGCCAAGAACTTCTCAAGGAAATATATTTGCTGATCATTCAGGTAATACAGTCAATTAGTTTAAAACTATTTGAGATTTATAATATAATTTTGTTTTGCAATCAAATAAATTAGGGGCCTAGACCTATGCCTTATAATAACCAACTAACCAAGCATAATAATAATTTGTTGTATTATCTTAATTTGTAGTAGTCAGTTGTTAGTTAGTTAGCTGAGCCTAGCCAAGCCTCTATCTATTTTATGTATTTTTACATAATTTATAATAGGCATGTTCGCCTATGTTAACTATGTTAGTATCTATCAATATAATTATACTATAACCATTGCCATTACCAAAATGACTCCAGTAAAAGTAAATAGAGGACTATGAGAATGATGATTTTTGATACTATGACTATGATGACGACCTAGCATATGATTATGATTCTAAAATTAAGAATTAATTATAAATATGATTATGATAGAATAATCATTTTGATACCCTTATGCCTATCTGAAAAGTGTTATGTTGGGCATAAGCGTCAACTTATCTTTTTCTATCTATATTAGTTAGTGTATAGGCTGAAGCCTAAGCGTAATCAACAGTAACCACTATTTTATTTATAAATGCCTTTCCTTCTCATATTATAATTTATTACTATTATCCGTCAGTAATGTCAGCTGACTGAAAGGAGTCTAATCACACAATATCATAGCCTACCAATTCTACTACTACTAATGTAATACCAGTGGACCGACAAGAGACTTGGCTACACTGCTACACTTATGTCTTATAGTTAAAGGCCTACTATTCTTAATCTTATTAATATTATCCAATTGTCCCTTTGTATTAATAATACAGTCACACGCTGCTCTTTATGTCTAAATTAGAGGGACATTCTGTGGCAATCCTTTATGTCCAAGGATCCATTGAAGGAACAGTCTGCCTCCATGTGTTCCAGGTTTTATTAATAAGCTCTAAAATTGTCTGTCTCACTTTGCTGCCCAAATGAGAAAGCATAAATCCAAATGTGATTTTTCAAGGGTTTTGGTTTTATTTCCGATAAATTTGGTTGAACTCTCTTAATCTACATCCAGAGTTAATAGGTCAAGGTGAAGTTGTTTTTTGGTCATGGTTGAAAAAAATACCCCAGCTCTAGAACTTAATATTTTTTAAAAAAAGATGTTTGAAGAAAGAAATCTTTTGAAATTTTGTACTTAATCAATTTTGAATCTGTAGTGGAAAGCTATTATTTACTTGGTGGAGCCACATCCCTGGTGGAAAATTTTATTTTTGCAAGTTTTTTTTTTTGTTGGTAAGTTTATGTAGATGCTGCATAATTATAATATATTGCAGACGCGGTAGAATCCTGTGGCATGATATGTTTCAGCTACTGACTAGTGTCAAGACTTTGAATTTTAAAAATGTGCTTAGTAGATTCATTATTAGGATTTTCCTTCCTGGTCCTAGATAACCAGAACCAAGATATAAAAATAGTTGTGATTGGATTACCTTTTAATTAGCTTATAACAAATAAGTTAAGTATCGGTTCCTTCCTTAATTATTTTTTTTTCAACCAGCATCCTGTATGATCCCAGCATGTATTTTACACGCCTGTGTTTCAAGTGATGATCTAAATTGATCATTCATGTTAGATTTACAGGGGCCCTCCTTAAAGTATGTTCCACTATTTTTTTAAGATAAAATTTACACACACCCCCTCCCCTCCACACATCACAATCTGTCCCAAATCTCAGATGAACCCCTTTCCTGAAGTAGGTCACACTTTTGATTTAGAAAATTGTTTAAAATTTATTTTAAAAAAATAAAAAATTAACAACTAATTATAATTTAATCTAATAGACCCCCCTCTGTAACTTTATAAAGTGACATCTTCTGTCGGAATACATTGATCACAAAAGCATGTTTAACGTCATTTTCCATTTCAGGTTTTATATGTCCTAATGATTTAAAAAATAAAATGTGTGAAGTGGCACAAGATACCAGCTGCCCCCTCCGCTGCCACCAAACCATGACCTACATTATGGACGACCACACATTTGTTTGTGGATCATTTTTTATACATTATCAAGGATAATTGGATAATTATATATTTTGTTTCTGAAGCATTTTAAACATTCAAAGCTGACTGTTGATCTTCTTTCTTTCTCCCCCCCCCCCCCCCACCCCCCCCCCCCCCCCCCACACACACACACACACACCAAGTCGCCAATACACTTAAAACCTCAGTTTATAAAATGTTAGTTTATTGAATAGACTAGAAGGCTAAATGTTATGAGCTCCTCAGTTCACTCAGTTCGATCGTGAAAGCTGAATAAAACAATTAACCCGCCCCCCCCCCCACACACACACACACCACCATCATCACACACACAACCGCCGCGTGTAAAGCCTTTTAATTTATGTCATCATGTGCACTTCTTTACCTCGGATGGCAGTGAGTGGTTTGTGGCGTAGCCTGTTGGGGGAAACTGCTGGTTTCATCTTGTGAAGGCCTTTGTTGAGATTACCTTGTGAGCATTGTTTAAACTGGAGTGTGTCAGGCCAAGTCCAGCTGTGTCCTTGAGTGGTCAACCCTACAGTAGTGGGTCTCATCGGTGTAAGGTTTATTCTGTAGCCTGATGGGGGGGGGGGGCAGTTGTCAGTAACCAAAGTGAAAGATGGCTTCTTGAAAAGTTAACCCATCTTGTTGGGTGAGAAAAGCCCAACTTGATTATTCTATCTATACATCTGAGGTAGTCGTTCCCTGGAATAATTGGAATAAATATTTGCAGGGAATGTCAGTGGTTACCCGGTGCACCGCTCGAACGCAAAGGGATTCTCAAGCATATGGGGGTATGGCCCACTCATTATTCTTCTTCTCATTAAGTCAAGGCTGCTATAGATCTTTCTTACAATTGTCTCTTTTCTTCTTATTGAAAGAACGGCTCGTGTTACCGGGAGGTGGTGAAGCCACCAATATCACCCCCCCCCCCCTTGACTACCTGAGCTTACCTCAGACTATTTACCTGTCAGGTGCCAATGTTAGACTTTAAATTAAGGAGCTGAGCTATTCAAACACCCCC